AGCCGGTCGGCCAAGCGGACAGCACACTGGACTTGTGATCCTGTGGTCCTGGGTTCGATCCTGGGCGCCGGCGAGAAACAATGGGAAGAGTTTCTTTCACCCTATGCCCCCTGTTACCTAGCAGTAAAATAGGTACCTGGGTGTTAGTCAGCTGTCACGGGCTGTTTCCTGGGGGGTGGAGACCTGGTCGAGGACCGGGCCGCGGGGACACTAAAGCCCCGAAATCATCTCAAGATAACCTCAAGATAACGACATTTCGGTCTGTCCTGGACCATTCTCAAGTCGATTGTGTGAATGGTCAATCTCACACAATCGACTTCAGAATGGTCCAGGACGGACCGAAACGTCGTCGTCCCTTCACTTTCTAGTGTGTGGTTTGGTCTACACGTAAAGTCTTATAGTGTGTTGCGCGCCTTGAAGATTGTGACGGAGAAGTGTTTTACCTTATCACTCAAGAAAATAACTTGTTTACGTCTTACGAGAGAGAGGAGATGTAAGGAATAAATGCTGGAAGAACGCTTTGTGTGTGTGTACTTATCTAATTGTGCTTGCTGGGGTTGAGCTTCGGCTCCCTGGTCCCGCCTCTCAACGGTCAAACAACTAGTGTACAGATTCCTGAGACAACTGGCTTCAATTCAATCTGGCTACATTTAAAACTGTGTATGGAGTCAGCCTCCACCACATCACTGCCTAATGCATTCTATTGGTTAACTTCTCTTACACTAAAACAAATCTGTCTAACGTCCCTGTGGCTCATTTGGGTACTCAGTTTCCACCTGTGTTCCCTTGTGCGTGTACCACCAGTGTTAAATAATGTCTATCTATTCTGCCAATTCCGGCCCTCATGGGAACACATTATAAAAATACATTGATGAAGGCATATAAGAAGGATGACATGATACGAGATATAATTGAGAGGAATTGTAAACCTTTCAGTGAAAACGCAAGGATTCGTCCAGTCATTTATCGACCCTACAGCTGTTTGATGGTCCTCCAGTGACCCAGAGGGAAGATGGCAAGCCTGGCGGACACCTTGAAGCCAGAGTCAGATAACGATCACCTCACCTTATCCTTCGGCACTCTATACGATTAATGAGGCTAGGTGAATCGTAGTGAGGTGCACCCACACTTATAAATGTCTAGATTTCTTGTAAGCTCCTTATACCTGTGTCAGCTTAACAGTGAAGTCCTGAAGATGTCACACTCCTGATGAAACTTTGAACAATAAAAATGGAAAGATTAAGTGATCTAATGTTTCTACACTCTCCAGACGGGAGAGAGAGAGAGAGAGAGAGAGAGAGAGAGAGAGAGAGAGAGAGAGAGAGAGAGGAGGAGGACAGAAAGAGGGGGGGGGGGAGAAGAGGAAACATATATCTATATCATCAGTACGGATAAAAGTGCAGCTAGAAACTCTGCCCCGGCCCAAGCCCTTCAAAGCAAACACCCTCCCAAATCCCCCACGAACCGACAGTATCATATACCACCACCAGGAATCTGTGGTCTTCAAAGAAGCTTTTTCTTTTCCACCCGGGTCAGCAGGCGGCTTTACGGGATTAAAACCCGCAACGCATCAAGCAAATGCTAAACCCTGCACTTGGTGATGCTGCACAAGATCTTTTACAACTAACCAGATTTGTCAACACGTGCCCCGGCTGGTGGTGTACCTGAGGTTATGAGGCCGCTCCGTGCACTCAAAAAGAAGGATGGGGGGATCAGGCCAGTCGCTGTTGGCAACACACTCCGTCGCCTGGTTGTCAAGGCTGCCGCCGGCATTGCCAGTCAGGAAGAGGCGGAGTTGCTGAAACGAATTCAGCTAGGATTTGGAAACCCTCTCCCCACCGAGGGTGTGAAGCGGCTGCTCATGCAGCACGAGAGTACATCGTTAACATCTCTGATCAAATCGAACTTTACAACTTCTTTTAACGTGCAGTGATTTTGTGCTGTACATGACCATTTTCGCCCTCTCTACTATTCCATTCATGCTACAGTCAGGAATCCAACTACTTTTTGGCGAACACGAAATCAGCTCAAAACGTGAAGGAGTCCAGCAAGGTGATCCTCTAGTTCCTAATCTTTTCTACTTAATCTTTTTTCTAGTCTTGAAAAGAAATCACCACAAGCTTGTCCAGCGAGTTCATCATCAGGAGTTGGGCGATAGCACTATTGCCGGCTCCTCTTCACCCCTCTTAGACGACATCAGAAGAATAAAGGAGCAAGACAACCTCGTTGTCTTCCTAAGCCCCTCCAAGTGTGACATAGCCTCTTCAAATCTAAACATCATGGAGTAAATATCCGTCTTGCTCTGAGTTCATGTATCAGGCCCGCAGACAGCACTCTCCTTGGAGCCCTTCTCGAGCCTAACGCCATGGACGTGATCCTCAATAGGAAAATCAGGGACCTAAGGAGGACGGAAGACAGGATTGGTGACATCAATGCTCGTGATGCTGTTTATCTTCTCACTAGATGACGCCTTCCCAAGCCTAACCTACTGAGGTGAGCCCCATCTTACAACAGCCCAAAGCTTGAAGAGTATGACATTCTACTGAAGACCATGCTAGGAAAAGCTGTCAACCTTTTCCTCAGTAACCATTGGTGGAAACAAGCCACTCTTCCCGTCAGACTCATTGGCCATGGTGCCCGGAATGCCACGCAAATTGTTGTTCCAGTTTTCCGATCTTCCTCCTTGGCATCGGATAATCTGGTCAAGGAAATCCTATCAGACAACTTGGGGATTCAACGCGGATACATGCCTCATTCCCACATCATGGAATGCAACACAAAATGGGGTACCTTGGCAGACTCAGCACTCAGGCCAACCTTACTGAAAGCCAACAACCAATCCAGCTGCGACAGCACCATTGTGGGACAAAGAAGTCACATCTTTGTTGGAGACATCATCATCCCCCTGTGGTCGTGCTCGCCTCACAACTTCACGGGCTCCCCATGCATGGGATTTCGTTTTGGCATTCCCTTTGTCTGCGACAGGTACATGTCTCGATACGCAGCAGCTCCATACAGTACTGCAGTCGCCCTCCGTCTTGTTGCCCCAATCCACACTGTATATAAAAGTTTATTTGCGGTTATGAAGATGCAGATGAATAAGGATCGCATGGCCTGCACTGTAGAAAATCAGGGTTGGCGCTCAAGACACTACAAAGTCAACATCATTAAGAGGAGCCTTGCCTCTGTCTAGTGTCCAGCAGAGAGAGACCATCGTAATGTAGTGTACCAAAACTCTCTTGTCTTTGCTGATCGATCAGAGGGAATCACACTACGTCCATGGGGAACTGGCAGACAACTGGCGTGGGACTATACTTGCATATCCAACTTTGCAGCCACATACATCAACCTCTGTCAGTCAAGCAGGAAGTGCGGCCATACACAGAGAAAGAGACAAATCAGTCAAGTACAAGGCAAGAGATAACTGGTACAACTTTGTTCTAATAGGATTAGAGACCCATGGACCATGAGGAGAGCGCTTACAAGATTTCTCAAGGATCATGGGTCTAGGCTCGTCGAAACAATAAGAGACCCAAGAGCAGCACGCTTGCTTTTCCAGCGCATTAGTGTGGCGATCCAGAGGGAAAATGCCCCCCCCCCCCCCCGCCCCTGCATCCTCCGTTCCTGCCCGGCGTCAGAGATGTTCGAAGAAATCTACCGCCTCTAGGAAACAAACAGCTACGTAACTATGTCATCTTATATAATACAGTGCTTAATAATAATGAAAGGGGTGGAAGGAGAAGGAAATTCTTATACGTATTTCGAGTCAAACGACAAGTTTTTCACTAAATGCTCATTATTCCTTCTCTGAGCTGGGGAGAAAGAGTTCACACAATTGCATCAAAGGGGGTACCCCTATATATATATATATATATATATATATATATATATATATATATATATATATATATATATATAATATGTATATATATATATATATATATATATATATATATATATATATATATATATATATATATATATAGAGAGAGAGAGAGAAAGAGAGAGAGAGAGAGAGAGAGAGAGAGAGAGAGAGAGAGAGAGAAAGAGAGAGAGAGAGAGAGAGAGAGAGAGAGAGAGAGAGAGAGAGAGAGAGAGAGAGAGAGAGAGAGAGAGAGAGAGAGAGAGAGAGAGAGAGAGAGAAAGAGAGAGAGAGAGAGAGAGAGAGAGAGAGAGAGAGAGAGAGAGAGAGAGAGAGAGAGAGAGAGAGAGAGAGAGAGAGAGAGAGAGAGAGATATTTGGCCTTTTAACCTTCCTCATACAAACGAGCACTACAAAAGAAACAACTTAATAAAACACAAAACAAACACCAATTAAAAAAACAAAAAAACGCTCAAAATACTAATCCAAACAAGTAAAAAGAAACGCACTAATGACAAATAAACAAAGGCCTCATTTTCCTGCCTTATTATATTTGCGTTCATTTCCAGTGTTTTCTATTGCATGTGTAGTGCAATTTTTTCTCCCAGGTGAACTTGACGAAGCCTGTGAGTCTCATTAACGCCAGCCGTCACCCTTCCTACGAGAAAAATAACTTTTTCTCCTGTCTTTAATTAAGACCTGCATAAAAAATGAGAGAATATCACTTCATATGAAAAAGAAAACAGTTTGGATGTGTGATAATATGATAGAATACTTATGAGCTACAAGAATTCTGCCCCAAGAGTGTAATACTTATATGCTGTGCTTATAAGTGTACAGCATATAAGTGTATACTGTACACTTACAGCTGTATGTGTACAGCATATATGCTGTGCTTATATTAACATGCAATCAAATGTTTATTCAGGTAAAATGTTATATGGGAGTCTTGCACTGTGGTTTGTGGGTTTGTGCTCACTGGTTTGTGTTCACTGGGTTTGTGTTCACTGGGTTTGTGCTCACTGGGTTTGTGTTCACGGGGTTTGTGTTCACTGGGTTTGTGCTCACTGGGTTTGTGTTCACTGGGTTTGTGTTCACTGGGTTTGTGCTCACTGGGTTTGTGTTCACTGGGTTTGTGCTCACTGGTTTGTGTTCACTGGGTTTGTGCTCACTGGGTTTGTGTTCACGGGGTTTGTGTTCACGGGGTTTGTGTTCACGGGGTTTGTGCTCACTGGTTTGTGTTCACTGGGTTTGTGTTCACTGGGTTTGTGTTCACTGGGTTTGTGTTCACTGGGTTTGTGTTCACTGGGTTTGTGTTCACTGGGTTTGTGTTCACTGGGTTTGTGTTCACTGGTTTTGTGTTCACTGGGTTTGTGTTCACTGGGTTTGTGTTCACTGGTTTTGTGTTCACTGGGTTTGTGTTCACTGGGTTTGTGTTCACTGGGTTTGTGTTCACTGGTTTTGTGTTCACTGGGTTTGTGCTCACTGGGTTTGTGTTCACTGGGTTTGTGTTCACTGGGTTTGTGTTCACTGGTTTTGTGTTCACTGGGTTTGTGTTCACTGGGTTTGTGTTCACTGGGTTTGTGTTCACTGGGTTTGTGTTCAATGGGCTTGTGTTCACTGGGTTTGTACTCACTGGGTTTGTGTTCACTGGGTTTGTGTTCAATGGGCTTGTGTTCACTGGGTTTGTGTTCAATGGGCTTGTGTTCATTGGGTTTGTGTTCAATGGGCTTGTGTTCACTGGGTTTGTGTTCAATGGGCTTGTGTTCACTGGGTTTGTGTTCAATGGGCTTGTGTTCATTGGGTTTGTACTCACTGGGTTTGTGCGTCCCCTTGAGGAACTTGAGGCAGAGGGGGGGGGGGGAGAAATAGCTTAAGCTACTCTAGTCCCTTGAGATGTATTGTATTGTCTCAATAAACGTACTTGAACTTGATGAACTTAAAACAGTAGAGGTAATGATCGTGGTGGTGGTGATTGTGGTTGTGGTGATGGTAGTGGTCACCAGCTGAGATCTCTCACTAGCTGAGACACATCTCTCACCAGCTGAGACACGCCTCTCACCAGCTGAGACGCGTCTCTCACCAGCTGAGACACATCTTTCACCAACTGAGACACATCTCTCACCAGCTGAGACGCGTCTCTCACTAGCTGAGACACATCTCTCACCAGCTGAGACGCGTCTCTCACTAGCTGAGACACATCTCTCACCAGCTGAGACACATCTCTCACCAGCTGAGACGCATCTCTCACTAGCTGAGACACATCTCTCACCAGCTGAGACGCGTCTCTCACTAGCTGAGACACATCTCTCACCAGCTGAGACACATCTCTCACCAACTGAGACACATCTCTCACCAGCTGAGACACATCTTTCACCAGCTGAGACACATCTCTCACCAACTGAGACACATCTCTCACCAGCTGAGACACATCCCTCACCAGCTGAGACGCGTCTCTCACCATCTGAGACACATCCCTCACCAGCTGAGACACATCTCTCACCAGCTGAGACGCGTCTCTCACCATCTGAGACACATCCCTCACCAGCTGAGACACATCTCTCACCAGCTGAGACGCGTCTCTCACCATCTGAGACACATCCCTCACCAGCTGAGACACATCTCTCACCAGCGGCCAGCGTGACACACGAACCTCCCGCCACCAGCAAAATCCTTAAATATTGTGTTACGAGTCTCGACCATCTGTTTTTCACATCGTTTCATGCAATTTTATTCTGAAGGAATTAAACCAACGCTCAATTATGCCGAGCAAGATAACACCACAAAGGTAGATTGAACGTTGAACATCATTGCATTAGCATCATGCCAAAAATGCTGCTTGAAATTGCAGAAAATAGCATGTAAGTTTATTTATACGAGTTCTTTTTGATGCATAGTTTGGTGTGCAGGTGAAAATATATCTTTCCCCCCCTCGAGCGGATGGTGATGATGGTGGTGATGGTGAGGGTGGTGATGGTGGTAATGTAGAAGCCTTTGGTTTACGGCAGTCTGAAGCTTGCAAGAAGTCTCCTGCGATTTATGGATGAAAAATGTGAGTGTGGCTCTTGGCTTGGAGTTCAACATTTCAAAGTCTGGGCTCGGGAAACAAGAGATAAATCTCTAGGAGAGGCACGACAGATGCTTCAGTGCTCGAGGGTGCTCAAGGGCGCTCAAGGGCACTCATGAGTGCTCAAGGGCGCTCACACTGTCATGTCAACCACCTATAAGGAAACAAATACACCTTAACATCCTCACACACACATAATGCAACAGAAAATATACACTATATTCACCACTGCATAAAAATTCCTGTTGCTTTAATTACTTTATAGCGTTGAAACATTGACTCGAACCAACGTTCATGGACTTGGAATGATTATGTGAGGTGTCTATAGGCTCGTCCAACATTTATCAAGCATTTACGCAACACTTACGAAACCTCTACATCTTTTACTTGGTCATGGCGGCTCTGTTTACATTTCGTAAACATGTTACGAGTTTGGAAACTGTGGTTTTAATCGCCAGGTTAAACCCCTTTGGATCTGACCAGTAACTGATTGGGTGACCGCGCGGAGAGCCCCGGTGTTAGCTAGACCTGGGACCTGGATCAGCTTGTCCTCTCCAGTATGTACAACGTCACTAAATTGATGTACTAAATTGCCCGAACCTAACCTAACCGCGGACCAACGTATAGAAAACGGGGACATCTCGTCAATGCTGCAAACCGTTGTGATTTTTAGTATATCAGTTTATTTTTTGCCTTATGGGATTTATACGTCAAAATACGACGAACTATTGGCAAGGACGGGTTGCCTGGATAAGCCTAACAGGCTTGCCCATTCTCTCCGTCAATTTGGTATCCTTTCGCCATACCCAAAATACGCAGTTGCCTAACAGGCCAAAATTCCTTAAAATGCCGGAAAACTCTAAACAAAATTCTTTATTTTTATTCTTTGTAATTTTATTACAAAATTCAATTACCTCACGAAAATTCAGAATTTTCGTGAGGTAATTGTTTGCAAGAATTGGCCTGGTGGACCTTAAAAGTTGCACCATTTAAGTGTCAGGAAACCCTAGAATACAACTGTTGCCATCGGAATATGCAATAATTAGAACATCTAAAAACTCTTGGGAGAAAAATGGAGCCCACCCCACCTATGACAGCCCCCTACCACCTATCAGTCACCCTGCAATGTTAGGTGAGGCTAGTCCAAATGTCTGGGTCAGGCACACAAACCTAACTCTTTTGCATATATACGACCCAACTCCAAGAGTCGACTTCCATAGCGCCCCACCAACGGTATATCTTCCACTATATGCTTCACTTTAGCACAGTGGAAACGTTAAAATGAAACTGACGTTCGTAAAGACTGCAACAAGGCATAACCCTTGTTGGACGGGGCGTGGAGTGGACGGGGCGTGGGGTGGACGGGGCGTGGGGTGGACGGGGCGTGGGGAGGACGGGGTGTGGGGTGGACGGGGCGTGGGGTGGACGGGGCGTGGGGAGGACGGGGTGTGGGGTGTACGGGGCGTGGGGTGGACGGGGCGTAGGGTGGACGGGGCGTGGGGTGGACGGGGCGTGGGGTGGACGGGGCGTGGGGTGGACTGGGCGTGGGGAGGACGGGATGTGGGGTGGACGGGGCGTAGGGTGGACGGGGCGTGGGGTGGACGGGGCGTGGGGTGGACGGGGCGTGGGGTGGACGGGGCGTGGGGTGGACGGGACGTGGGGTGGACGAGGGGTGGGGTGGACGGGACGTGGGGTGGACGAGGGGTGGGGTGGACGGGGCGTGGGGAGGACGGAGCGTGGGGTGGACGAGGGGTGGGGTGGACGGGGCGTGGGGTGGACGGGGCGTGGGGTGGACGGGACGTGGAGTGGGCGGGGCGTGGGGTGGACGGGGCGTGGGGTGGACGGGGCGTGGGGTGGACGGGGCGTGGGGTGGACGGGACGTGGGGTGGACGGGGCGTGGGGTGGACGGGACGTGGGGTGGACGGGGCGTGGGGTGGACGGGGCGTGGGGTGGACGGGGCGTGGGGTGGACGGGACGTGGGGTGGACGGGGCGTGGGGTGGACGGGACGTGGGGTGGACGGGGCGTGGGGAGGACGGGACGTGGGGTGGACGGGGCGTGGGGTGGACGGGGCGTGGGATGGACGGGGCGTGGGGTGGACGGGGCGTGGGGTGGACGGGACGTGGGGTGGACGGGGCTTGGGGTGGACGGGGCGTGGGGTGGACGGGGCGTGGGGTGGACGGGGCGTGGGGTGGACGTCGCGTGGGGTGGACGGGGCGTGGGGTGGACGGGGCGTGGGGTGGACGGGACGTGGGGTAGACGGGGCGTGGGGTGGACGGGGCGTGGGGTGGACGGGGCGTGGGGTGGATGGGGCGTGGGGTGGACGGGGCGTGGGGTGGACGGGACGTGGGGTGGACGGGGCGTGGGGTGGACGGGACGTGGGGTGGACGGGGCGTGGGGTGGACGGGGCGTGGGGTGGACGGGACGTGGGGTGGACGGGGCGTGGGGTGGACGGGGCGTGGGGTGGACGGGGCGTGGGGTGGACGGGGCGTGGGGTGGACGGGGCGTGGGGTGGACGGGGCGTGGGGTGGACGGGGCGTGGGGTGGACAAAACATGTCTGAACGAGGCGACTGACTCTTAATAAAGCGAGATATGAGATCAAGCGGACCAAAAATATAATATTTTAATTGAGAATTTTGTACGAACAGCATTTTAAAACTGACGAACATTATGTTATGGTGCTGCGTGTGTGAGGAAGCGGCTGGTTGAACCCCTTCACACCCACAAATAAGGCCCAACAGGTTCCGGTAACCAAACGTTACTAAACTTGATGTCACAACTTACCATTGGTTCACACACGTCACGTGACCTCATGACGGGAGTGACGTCAGAGCCCTGCTGAGGATAAAAATAAATATCTTAATACATGGAAAATAAATACAGCAACTTCTCACATACAGCTGTATTTTGAATTAAATAAAATATTCAACTAGTCGTTGATGAAGGAAATAGTTCGTGTGGAGGCCAGATGCCTAGGGCTAACCTCGCTAACTTTTCAATATCAACCATTGGAGGGTATGGGAATGCCATCGGTCAGTCGGGGTCTGCCTTAGTGCCACACACTTAGAAATATCGGCATCTATAGGGACCCCCAGCGATTTTCATGAAGACTGAAATAGAATCAGGGAATGTTTTCTGTAGAGTTTTGATGGTTACTCTCGCTGTACTTATTTGGGTTATAGCATTATATTCTCTGAGACAGATGATAGAAAGGAGACAGGGGGAGAGGAAAGAAAAGAGGGTTGTTGGTGAGAAACGTAGAGAGGAGAGAAAGGCGAAAGGATAGTGGAGAGGTGAGAGAGGGGGGAGAAAGGTGCAGAACAGGGGCGATTGAGAGAAAGAACGAAGAGTCGAAAGCGGAAGAGAGGAGGGGGGGGGGTAAAGTGGAAGAGAAATGAGAGCGAGGGGAAGAAAGAGGGAAGGGGGGGAAGGGTAAATACATACACAGCCAAGTACCCCTCAAGTATATGTTTCAAATATCTTGATGTCTGTTCAAGGTTGAATGTAAGATGCACGGGGCATCTTATATTACATACAACTTCTCACTGTGAAATGTGATTGTAAGGGGGGGAGGGAAGAATGTCATAAGAGGTCGGGGGGTCGACCCCTTTGCCCCCTCTTTAAGGAGGACTGCACCCTATTTGGAATTCCAGTGACACGTATGAAGCCTAAAATGGGTGTTTTGTTTTCTATCGTGTTTTTCGACCGTTTTTCTCCTCTTCATATTGAAAATTACATACAACGTAACCATTATTAAACTATGTTTTCTAAACGTTATGCACAATGTTCTTTAAACGTTATGTACAATGTTCTTTAAACGTTATGTACAACGTTCTTTAAACTCTATGTACAACGTTCTTTAAACGTTATGTACAACGGTCTTTAAACGTTATGTACAACGTTCTTTAAACGTTATGTACAACGGTCTTTAAACGTTATGTACAACGTTCTTTAAATGTTATTACAACGTTCCTTAAACTCTATGTACAACGTTCTTTTAACTCTATGTACAAGGGTCTTTAAACTCTATGTACAACTGTCATTAAACTCTATGTACAACGTTCTTTTAACTCTATGTACAACGGTCATTAAACTCTATGTACAACGGTCTTTAAACTCTATGTACAACGTTCTTTTAACTCTATGTACAAGGGTCTTTAAACTCTATGTACAACGGTCATTAAACGCTATGTACAACGGTCTTTAAACTCTATGTACAACGGTCTTTAAACTCTATGTACAACGTTCTTTTAACTCTATGTACAAGGGTCTTTAAACTCTATGTACAACGGTCATTAAACTCTATGTACAACGGTCATTAAACTCTATGTACAAGGGTCTTTAAACTCTATGTACAACGGTCATTAAACTCTATGTACAACGATCATTAAACTCTATGTACAACCGTCTTTAAACTGTATGTACAACGTTCTTTTAACTCTATGTACAACGTTCTTTTAACTCTATGTACAACGGTCATTAAACTCTATGTACAACGGTCATTAAACTCTATGTACAACCGTCTTTAAACTGTATGTACAACGTTCTTTTAACTCTATGTACAACGTTCTTTTAACTCTATGTACAACGTTCTTTAAACTCTATGTACAACGGTCTTTAAACTTTATGTACAACTGTCATTAAACTGTATGTACAACGGTCTTTAAACTCTATGTACAACGTTCTTTTAACTCTATGTACAACGGTCTTTAAACTCTATGTACAACGGTCTTTAAACTCTATGTACAACGGTCTTTACAAGTTATGTACAACGTTCTTTAAACGCTATGTACAACGTTCTTTTAACTCTATGTACAACGGTCTTTAAACTCTATGTACAACGGTCTTTAAACTCTATGTACAACGGTCTTTACAAGTTATGTACAACGTTCTTTAAACGCTATGTACAATGTTCTTTAAAAGTTATGTACAACATTCTTTAAAAGTTATGTATAACGTTCTTTAAACGTTACGAACAACATTCTAACAACTATGGTCTTAAAATGTACCAACTACATGGTTACAACGTTGTAGCAACGTAACACTTTTTCAAAAATACTTGTGGTTCTACCATGGGGTCCCTGCCCGAGGCCCTGCCCGAGGCCCTGCCCGAGGCCCTGCCCGAGGTCCTGCCCGAGGCCCTGCCCGAGGCCCTGCCCGAGGCCCTGCCCGAGGCCCTGCCCGAGGCCCTGCCCGAGGCCCCGCCTGCCAATGGCCACGCCACTAGAATAATCTCCTGCTCTCCACCAGCCTTCTGCCGGCTCACAGGTCTGGCACGTGCCGACTATACGAGTCTACAGTCCTGGTTCTTTTTGCCTGATAGCTTTTGAACAGTTTCCAGCGTCTTATGATATTACATGTTCTGTGTGTGTGTGTGTGTGTGTGTGTGTGTGTGTGTGTGTGTGTGTGTGTGTGTGTGTGTGTGTGTGTGTGTGTGTGTGTGTGTGTGTGTGTGTGTGTGTGTGTGTGTGTGGGGGTGTGTGTGTGTGTGTGTGTGTGTGTGTGTGTGTGTGTGTGTGTGTGTGTGTGTGTGTACTCAGCTAGTTGTGGTTGTGGGGATTAAGCTTTGGCTCTTTGGTCCCAAGAGAGAGTGTGGGGTGAGGGGAGAGATACGACGGGAGAGAGGGGGATGGGGGGAGAGACAGAGGGGTTAGGAAGAGGGGTGACGAGGGGAAACAGAGACAAAGAGGGGTGGAGAAGAGAAGAGGGGGGGGGCAGAAGGACGGACAGGGACAAGACATAGAGAGAGGAAATTTAAAGGCCTTACCATCTGTGTCTGTCTGTATGTCCAATGTTGAGGGCCAGACGCCTAGGGCTAGCTTTACCCAATTTTTCCCATTAATTGCTGTTGGGTATGTGCATAACATGGGTGGGTCGGGATTGGAGTCACAGAAAACTCGAAAAATCTTCTCAAACAATATGATGACTGAATTATTAATATTATTATAATTATTCGTATTATTTTTTATCAGAAACTGTATGCCCTGTTCATGAAAAATCATAAACACAAATTTTCGATTTAAAGGGTAGGTATTATGACTTGATTTTTTTTTTAATTATTTCATAATTACTGCATACACGTTCCTATATTAAACAAGAATAATAATATTAATAATTCAAAGTCGTCATATATATAGTATGACAAGATTTTCCTTTGACACAAATTACAACTCGTCCATGTTGTGCACTTAACCAACAGTAATTACTGACAACTGGGTAAAGCTTGCCCCAAGCTCCTGGCGCTTAACATCGGTCACTCACTCATTTCCTACTGTACTCTTTGAAAATGTTTAAAAATTATGATAGTACTCTGATTATTTTTCGTTTTATTTCTCGTATGTGAATACTTACGCATAAATGAATCACGTGTTTTTGTTATTAGTCTAGCATGCATATATATATATATATATATATATATATATATATATATATATATATATATATATATATATATATATATATATATATATATATATATATATGCGGAAAATCCACAGAGAAATATGAAATGAGGTGAACGTTTCGGCTTTGTTAAAGCCTTTGTCAACACCAGACTGACTCACATGACTCACATGATTTTCCGCATAAAATGATCAGTGTTTTGTGATCGTCAATTGCATATATATATATATATATATATATATATATATATATATATATATATATATATATATATATATATTATATATATATATATATATATATATATATATATATATATATATATATATATATATATATATATATATATATATATATATATATATATATATATATATATATATATATATATATATATATATATATATATATATATATATATATATAGCTCATAAAACAGAAGAAAGGGTCCTGAAAGATATTGTTAATAGAAACGTTATCCCTACAGACAAAAATCAGAGGATACAACTGACGATTTACTATAAAACCAGAAAAACGGCCAGCCTACTCATGAGAAACTCAAACCCAGACACAAAGCAGAGCGCTTTAAAAGAGACCAACGTCGTCTATGCCTTCAAATGCCCTCTTGGGGACTGTAAGCTCCAAAAAAACAGTATATAGGCAAGACAACAACATCTCTTTCTAGGCGTTTAACGATGCATAAGCAACAGGGCTCCATTAAGGAACATATAATCTCTTCCCACAACCAAACCATCGCCAGAGAAATCCTAGTAAACAACACAGAAATCATCGATAGATACAGCGATAGCAGACGGCTTGACGTTTGCGAGGCACTACACATTAAAAAGTCAACACCAGCAATCAACAGCCAATTAATGCACAACTATATTCTACCCACCTCAAGACTCCGCTCCAATATAGAAGCATCAAGAAATATGGACCAATAGGCTTTCTATAATCACTTCTATTCAATACCCATTGTTTCGTGTTCTGTCTTGTGTTGATGAAATTAATACCCTATTAATACCACCTCACCCCATCCACTTCACTCAAATGTAGATATAAACAAATCGGAGATGTGTAAGTTCTATTCAGTTGTGTATGTGTAAACTAAAGTCTTTGAAAATGTAATAAGTTTTATGAAACGCGCTCA